TCATGTAAATAAAACTTTATTAATGTAAAATAATTATTTCATTATTGAAAACAATTACAGACTATACTTAGCTTAAACGTTTAAGGAAACATGTTTTTTCTTTGAATTGAAAAAAACAAGCGAAATCTAATTATGTATTTTAATATTATAATACGTATATACGTTTCGTCGGTCGTAAAAAACATATTTTCTGTTTTGATGCACTGCTGACCAGTGTAATCTAAAAATATGTTTTTTCGGTAAAAGTGCATAAAAAGGGAGGCCAGCGTTATGACCTTGACATGTTGTCAAGGTCATGACTCTGAGTGACCTCCAACAAGTTTTAGCCATCGCTCGCTATTCGTTAAGATTTTATTAACAAAAAAAAGTTCTTCAATAAAACCTAACTGTTCGACATGTCTGTTGTACGTATTCGACTTTCCACGCGAAGCGAGGCTCACCCCACACTAACAAATGGATTGGGTTAGGTTATTTTTAACAATAGTAAAGCCCTCCCGCAGAGAGGGGCTAACCTACTACATTCACGCAAAGCGACTCTCACCCCATCTCTTTCTCTGCGAAGGAGCTCGCAACTTCAATGTCACCTTATGTTGTAAAGTGTAGGTATATGCGTGCCTACCCAACTCATTTGTTGGTGTGGAGTGGGCCACGCTTCGCGTAGAAAGTCGAACACGTGTAACAGTACAATCATAGAAGTCGTGCACTCTGGAACCCGAGTGACCTCCAACAAGTTTTCGCCATCGCTCTCTATTCGTTAAACAGTTATTAAAAAAAAATAATGAAACAAAAAATATTATAGATGAAACACGATTTTTGGATGCAAAGTATACATTTTGATCCTTTAAAGCAGGTAACTTGTCATTCTAATATAGCACTGATAACCTAATATAGCTGATAAACAATTCGAAACTCCTGTTTGTTTTGATTTCTCGTGTTTCTATATTAAGTATTTAGTATTGTTCAGTCTGGCATCAGTGCTTCAATAGAAACATGTTTCTCCACAATTTATTAATCTTACTTATTACAAAGATTGACGGACAATGGTTATTTGATAGTTATGAACGTGACAATAAAAAACAACAAATCAATTAAAGAAGACTCTCGAAAGTTTCAAATAACAAGAATATAACGGCTAATGAGAGCTATTCGCTGTTATTAGTGCGATCATATAAGATATGTTAAAGAGTGAATATTATATATACTACGTAAGTAGTTCCCCCCAATGACAATAAAAAACTATTTGCCGTCCCTGTTAAAGATCGTCGAGTTGAAACTAATTCCACTTATTCGCCAATATATTGCTCCAGGATCAATCATATATATAGCAACTATTGGCATGCTTATAACAAATTATCTAAAGAAAATTATATTCATAAAACTGTCAATCACAGTGAGAATTTTGTAAATACAATTGCCGGAGTACATATGCAAAATATAGAACGACTGTGGCGTGATTTGCGTACTGGACTACTGCGTTATGGTACAAAGGCAGAGCATTATAAATATTACTTAGGGAGTTTTTTTCAAATGGGAATAAATTTTTTAAAACGTATAGATACATTTTTTGGTTTAATGGCTTCAATGTATCCTATCACTATTGAAATTTCTAATTGAATAAATTTTTTATAAAATTTTGTGTCCAAAAATTGTGCTTCATTTATAAATCTTTTTTTGTTAATAACTTCTTAATGAATAGCGAGCGACGGCTAAAACTTGTTGAAGGTCACTCAGGGTCATGACCTTGACAACATTTTTCAAGGTCAAGGTCATAGCGCTGGCCTCCCTTTTTATGCACTTTTACTAAAACATATTTTCTTCATTATAATAAATATATAATATTTTAATTTTCGTATAGTTTTTTCCATTTTCTTTTAAATGTTGGATGCTTAATTTTAAAAATAACTATTTTTATTTAAACAATGATTTATTAATTATGATAAATACTTTTTTAATCGAAATAAATATTTAATTAAATCAAATAATTTAATGTTAACAAAATATATTTATTTCATTAAAAGATATTTTTTTCTTAGTATAGATAATTGATACATTTTTATTTATGTTTATGTAATACTTTATAAAATAAGAATAATCAGATATTTTCTACAGTATCGATCTAAGAAATAGAGATTTCAAACTGTAAGGTGCTTTTTTAAACATTTCGCTACAATGAAGTTTCACAATCTTAAAATTTATCTCTTTTTAAAGGATAAAAAAGATAAACTTTTAATTTTGTTGAGCAATGTAGTTATTTTCTAAAATTTAAATCTGTTTCTACTTTATGATAAATTGTCATTACTTTTACAGTTTTTGCAGGTTTTACTATTGCTGTAAAAATCTTCTATTGATAATAATATAAATAGCAAAAGCTTGCTAAATGTATCCACTGCGTCTAATCGATCTTATTGATATCTTTTTCATTTTGTTTCCTACTCTGACTGCAATATTATTGAGGACGTTAGCATACGGTGAATTTTTTCAATGACGCTAATTCTGTAAAAATATCGGCTTTTAACAATTTCTTGTTAGTGGAATTCTAGCTTTTTATCTAAATTTCTACTAGAGATTGTTTCTTATTTAATTATCACGTCTGTAGAACTCATTATAATATTGCCAGACACATATCTATATTTATATCTCTGCTTCGTTTTCGAATTGGATACTCTATATTAGTTTTTTTTTCCTTCCACTACGAATACCACAATAAAAAAAAATAATTTAAAGAAATTTCAAAAAGTGTTGAATATAAAATTATAATAAAGAGAAAATAAAAATTTATTGAATTTAGAAACAAAATACAGACATAATTTATAAATATTTATAGCAATTAAAAAATAATTCTTTTTTTTAATACATTTTCAAAAAATTTTGGAATGTGCTAATTATTCGATAATATCCGTTTATTTGAGTCACTTATAAATATCAAATAAGATTGGAATTCTATGCGCAGACGCGTGCGTCTACATTCGGCTTTTGCATTAAATATTCCGTATCGATCGTGAACTTAATTTCCAAACGATGAAATTATGAACGATCTAACTATGTCGAGATATGAGTCAACAGTATGAAATCCTACAAGCTATCATATACCTTGAGTAGATAGTGTTATGGCTTGTGAAATGTCTAGTACCATCGGTGTAGTCTAATTACGTCAATATCGCATTTCCTCTCTGAACAGACGTCGTACGTTACTGTACTCGAGGAAGAGCTTTCTCCTCGATTATCTGCTTTCCTTGTCAGCAAGCCGGCACGTACGATCTATCTCCAAAGCCCGAATAAACTAACCACGCAATCGGATTCGAAATACGTACTGATATTCTGCGCCCGAACTTCAAATTTATATATACAGCCTATGGGCGTTTATCGGGAGAGTAGTTTTGTGCATATTACAAGCTACATAGAATACACTGAATCTACAAAATTCATACATGGAAGAGAGTTGCGGAATGGTGACCTAAATTGTCCCCTCTAAATATTTTATATTATTACTTAATATAAATAACATTTAGTATTAATAATATATAAAGTAAATAAGAAATGTGTAACAAATTATTATATATTGGAAGTATGCATTAATTTTAAAGGATTTTATTATAAACTTTTGTATTTTTATAAAATAAGATTTAATGTAGAATATTTTACGTTCATGAGGAAACATTATAAAAAAAAATAACAAATTAATTTGTTATTGGTGTAAAGTTAGACATGTAATAAGCGAATTCTCAAGCTACAATTTCTAATGTTTATTTATTGCGTACAATTCCAAATGGAAAATGTAATAAAAATAGATTAAATAGTATGCATTCAACAATTCTCCTCTACGTATCCATTGTACGTACATACAATAAGTATCAAAAATTGACCGAGGGGGCTAGGCAATCGAAAAGCTTAAATATTGATCAAGTTGCATTATGACTTTTTTTCTTTACTGTAACTTAAATATAACTTAAATTTTGTTGAAAAATAAATAAATGTATGTGTGCGTGCGTGTGTACGTATGAATGTAATGTTTGTACGAGTAAAGGTCACTTATAATAATATACCACTTACGAGGGGAGGACCAGGTGATTCACCCTGGGATTTCAATCCCAATTTTTTTGGTGATTCTAGAAGTGAAAAAAAAGACCCGTGTCCCGGCGTTTGATTAAATAGGCCTTAATTTCTGAGTAATAAATTTGTGAATATTGGCCATATCCGAAGCGCGCCGCGTCGCGCTGTATGAATCTTGGGAGGTAGGGATGCTTCCAACCAATGCGATTGGCTCCGTGAGTCAGACGCTTGCCTCGTAATTCGTAAGGTCGAGTTTGGAAACGTCAACGAAATATGTTTCCCTCCGGACTTACGGAAAAATAAATGTGTATATGGTATTCCTTCATTTATTCATTGTGCAAACTGTAAAAAATTTATATGCTTTAAATGTTTTTATGATGTTTATCATCCAAGTGATTATTCCGCATCGAAATGATTGAATTTGAATTATGTAATAATATGTATCAGTATCATTAAAATAATATTCACTTTATGACTCAGAAACTAAGGCCTATTCAATCAAACGCCGGGACACGGGTCTTTTTTTTTTCACCTCTATAGAATCACCAAAAAATTTGGAATTGAAATCCCAGGGTGAGTCACCTAGTCCTCCCCTTGTTAATTTATAGACAATGTTCGTTAAACAAAAGCTAAAATAAAACTTTAGAGACAATTTTTAAATTATCAACTTTTTCGTAAGGTAAGCAAAATTTGCAACTGACAAAATGTGCCTTAGTACTAACATAGTAGGCAATAATGCTATATATTTCTATTCTATTTTAGTAAATATCTTGTTTAGGAGAGCCCCTCTGATAGTAACCTTTACCTTGACATATGTTGTCAACTTTATCATTTATATGAAATAATTCTGTATTTATGCAATGGAAAGGAATACAGCATAATACAATATACATTTAATACAACCGAAGTTATGGTATTATCAACAGCAAAATATATTTTTATGTTTGCAGAATCTTGGCAGCTGATTATCAAACGCATCAACATACCGGCTATTGTAAAAGTTCATGATACCGATTACATTATCCTTGATTGCGACTACGACCTTGAAAATACATCCAGTAAGGGTCTCGTCGTCAAATGGTTTTTTAATACCAATCAAGTTATCTACCAATGGATTTACGGCAGATCTCCTTTGGCGGACGAACCTGCTGCAAAATACGTCGATCTAACGTATAAGGCTAGCAATGATCCACACACTGAGTACCGAGCCATAAAATTGAATAGGCCAGGTGTCGATCTTACTGGCGAATATACATGCGTTATATCTACCTTTGCAGATGAACGAATGGCAAACGCTTCAATGATAGTGTATTGTAAGTATCATTGTGTTTTCATATTTGTATATATAATCTCGACCACGAACCTAATGTTTCTAGTTTGTTCTATTAAGTTCATTTGTTTGATTTTTGCGGCTCGCTACTAAGCCACAACATCATGTGATAATAATACTGTTTTATCTTCATCGAGGAACACAATATATAGGATGTTCCATTTAAAGGATTCACTCAAATATCTCAGAAACACCTCATTAAATCGAAAAATGTTTCAGAAAAAAGTTTTATGACTTCAAGGGGGACATAAGATAGTATCATTGGTTTAACCCACCTTGGGTGTTGTCGTCAAGGTCAAGGCAAGATTAAATTAAAAATTAATGATTTACAGATTTTAATTATGTCATTCAACATTATTAAGATCGATCTAAAGATACGCAAAAAGCATAAAAAATTATTCAATTATTAATTAATCAATTTAATTCGTGATATTACTGCGGTAGTTTAGTAGTGTTACGTTTTGAATCTAAAAAATTTCGGCGCGCAATTAAAAATTTACAAACGTAATATATAAATTCACATGCAATTATATAGAAGAATCCGAGATTCAGTTTGACCATTATGGCATGTTCTGATCGGTATTCATTGGTTTACAATTTTTTATATTAATATACGTAATACATTTCAAAAAATCGGTTTCTGAGATAATTTACATTAAAAAACAATATGACTTAAGGTATGTAATACAAAATAAAATCAATCAGAATTTCTTGAAATTAAAACTATATTTATATTAAGCTCAACTCTCTGTATTCATATTAAGCTTAACTATATTTATACATAAGCATTTAAAGATCCAAGCTAGACTGTTATAGGCTTTGTATTCGTATTAGTTATGTTCGTACATTGACGATCCTTAGATTTGAATATTGTTTATTCACGTGCCTGAAAGAAAGCGTTTATCATTTCACATATACCAGTTATTGCGAAGAATATTACTAAGGCCTCGGTAGTCCAATTGGCTAAAACACTTCTGCGTTAAGCAAGGTGTCCGGGTTTGACTCCCTGCCGAGGTAATATTCTTCGCAATATATTCAAATTATAATTAAAGATAATAATAATTGACTCGTATAATTAAAAAATCTTTAGCAAGTGTAAAGCCTAATCGAGTCTTGAAAACAAGATGTTAATGTTTATTATATTGTGTGAATTTATACATATACTACGTATGTAGTCCCCCCGCGACGCTGATAGTTCTTTTAGCATTGACGCATACATATTCACTACCGCAGTATATAAATTCTACATACGCAGTATATAAATTCACACAATATAATAAACATTAACATCTTGTTTTCAAGACTCGATTAGGCTTTACACCTAATGCTAAATATTCAAATTACTGACAAATTTTTAATATGTTATTCATAAACTTTAATAGATCATTCAACGTGAATTATGAAGATCCAAGATGTAATGAGGATTAAAAAATTGTTCATTTAACTTGTGATAGTACTGCAGTAGTTCATTAGTTTGCGTTGTAAGTCTGAAAAAATTTCGGCGTGCATTTGGGAATCTACATCGTAGTATATAAATTCACAAAAATTATAATAGAAGCATTCAATATCCAGCCTTACCGTAAATGGTTTATTCTCATCGGTGTTTGAAATTTCACGGTCTAAATAAAAGTTTGTTCTTAGAAAATATGTCAGAGGGCACTCGCAGTGTCATGTCACATTATTTTTTGACAAGTAGCATCTTTCAGCTGATTACTGTCAAATTTTGAACGGAATTTATCGAGAGATTTTATTCCTGTAGACGATTAAAGCGAGCAACCTTTGTATTTTTTGCAAAATGGAATAGACCGAGTTTTGTGCAGTGATCAAACATCTAAATATGAAAGGTTTAACGCCGAAAGAATCAGACAACAAAATGTGGAGAAAGCAGAAAGTGTCAGATTCAGCAATAGAGGAGCAGCAAAAGATGGAAGAGAAGTGAGAAGCAGAAAAGGACGTAACTTGAAGAGGATTGCAGAGTCGGTCATAGGGACCGCAAGAAGGAAAAACAGAAAGATGAGAGAAAATAAAGAAGTTAAGCTGATTAAGAGAAATCATAGGCTCAAGATTCGAGAATTCGAAATTGATGAGACCTAGAGTCCTAGAGTGCGTTCCGAGTCGCGCATGAAGCGCGTAGACTGCATAGAAAGTCGTTCCGAGTTAACTATTGCGCGCTTCGAAAGCGCTTCGAGAGTACTTGAATTCCCCAGATTGTACTAACCGTACTGAATTCTTAGCACTCCACTCAGCGCATTGACTGCTTCTCTTTCGACCTGAGGCAGTTGATGCGTCTGATGCGTTCATGCGGTCTATGCGCATGATTTGTAATTCGGAACGAGCAACGAGTACCGGACAATACAACAATGAACGGACGAATATTTGCGATTTGCGATGGAACAGCGATTACAGCAATTGCATGATTTCCCGGTCTTATTAGAGGATAAAAATAAAGTATTAATTTTATTTTTAAATGAAGAGGATATGGCGAAAGTAAGCCAAGATAAAATTAATGGCATTATTCAACAAAAATTAAAAGGGCGAAGTAAGAGTCAGAAGTAAATTACATTTAAAATAATATTAAAATGTTAACATATTTACAATAGAAATATTACAAAAATTGCTTAACAATTGTTACGCGCAGCATGTTTTTAATTTTAACAATTGTTATGCGCAGCATGTTTTTAATTTTAAGTAACGGGCATAATGTTTTTTAATTTTAAGCAATTTTTTTTTGTAATATTTCTATTGTAAATATGTTAACATTTTTTAAATTATTTTAAATGTAATTTACTTCTGACTTTTACTTCGCCCTTTTAATTTATGTTGAATACTTTCATCAAAATTAATGGCATATTATTTTACCTTGATTTATTTAATGTATAGATTAGACGTTATATTAATTAGGAATTACGCGATCGACGTAATCAATAATTTTTTTCAACTCCAATTTGTTTTCCACGTGATTTATCTACTATTAATAGAAAAAAAAAATTTTCTGCGTATCATTTAGAGATATGCCTTCGACTTCATTTTCACTAACGCTCGAGTCGGAATTGTCATCGGAACTTTCATCATTTTTCTTTAAAAGTATTAAAGAAGAAATTACAATTATTAGAAATTGTTTATTGACGTCTTGTATAGCGTCCATTTTGAACTCGCATAGCTCGCACAGGAAACCGGTCCGAATTGATAAGCGCTTCATGCGTGTTATGCGCGCATTGAAAAAACGGAACAATTTCAAAGTGTTGTGCATCAGTATTGCAGTCCACGCGCTTCATGCGCGACTCGGAACGCACCCCTAGATATCAGAGAAGCGCAACCGATGTTCCGCGTCCTGATTAGCTGACTGTCAGCCAATCATGACATTCATTCAGTGGTATTAAAAATGGCTGACTAAGGGTGCCGTCACATACAGCCCGCAATCCGTAATCCGCACCGGATGTCCGCAAAAGTTGCTAGGCATTGCGTCCGTAACGTTACGTGTATTTTATCTCCTTATGTCCCATGGAGCCGTAATTCCGTAAAAGTTACCAGTTTTTACTAGTAATGCTATACATTATTTTTTTATTTAACAAGTTATATTGATTATTTTTAACTTATTTCATAAGAAACCTGCAGAATATATCTTGATTGTAACAAAAACTTTACTTAAACCGTCAAATTTAGTCAAATAGATAAAATTAGAAAAAGCATTACTAGTAAAAACTGGTAACTTTTACGGAATTACGGCTCCATGGGACATAAGGAGATAAAATACACGTAACTTTACGGACGCAATCCCTACTACTTTTGCGGACATTCGGTGCGGATTACGGATTGCGGGCTGTATGTGACGGCACCCTAATAGACGATTGGTGGATTTCATATTTCGTCTGCAAACGACGCCATTTTTAATACTTTTCTTAGTAATTTTGCGATACTGACTTAAGCCGGTTACGCTTCTCTGATATCTAGGACTCTAGTAAGACCGAGCGAACGCAGTTCTGACCAAAGGCGCGCAGAACTAGAAGTAAGCCGTAGATAGTTAGATAGATAATTGTTCTTGGCGTTAACTATTATTGAGTTGATTGATTTCATTGCGCATAGAGCAAAAAATTGCCCTCCTCTCAAAAGAAGGATAAAAATGAAGCATACGCCTAGCCGCATCTCTAATCTCATCCTCAAACGGATAAACATCAAGCCGAGGAAACGATAGCCTTTGGAAATGGAAGCTACAAATAATTGCAAAGGAATGAGATAGTCCCGAGTGTTTATAAGGTATTTGTTTGGAATTATGACTTTATTGTCGATAGAGAAAGCTCTAGTAATTCTGGACCAGTCAAGAGAGCGCAAAGTATTGTGGAAAGGTCAAATTTAGAATAGACTCTGACACTTACAGTACGCGGAGATAAACGAGGAAGTTGAAAGAAGTTTCAATTAAGTCATGATTTTAAAAAAATGGAAGAGTATGTTGGTTGCAAGAGAAGAGTAATGATTGATCGCTTATAAGACAATGATCAATTCAGGAATGAGAAGAAACATATATTAGAAAATTGAATGATACAGAGATGATTGCTTAAACAAAAATCATAAAGTCAAAGTCAAAGAAAGTTTGGTTCAAATCGATATTGAGATTGTTAATGACTACTGCAGCGAAAAATATGAGAGAAGATATCTTTCAAAATCGGGCTGGAAGACTGAGAGGTTCGTTTATCGTCCCCAAGCTTCGGAGGACGATAACCAATTGCGAGTAGGAATGGTCGATACCTCTTGATAAAAATACCAAGGTATACCATAATCAGATTGGCTGCAGTAAAAGGCAGACGACAAAGCGAGTCACAACTCTGCTATTAACCACGTATATGCGCCTATGTCTTCTGCTCCCTTCACTCTCTATCTAAATATTATAAGTTCCCAATGTGGACATTATCATTCCCCCGGTAGACGCTGAGATCTAGGGAGGCGTTGCTAATCCTAAGGGCAGTACAGGGACGTTGAAGAACAATT